TTTTCTTAGCACTGTATTTTCATCTTTTATTTCATTGTTCCAGTTTCTGTTTGTTTCAGAGGGTTTAGTCCTCCTGCGTCTTTCCCCCTCTGTTATAGAATTTTATGCCTTTCCCTATTAATGGTTATTTAGCTCCTGTTTTATTTTTGTAGCTTATTTACCCCCAATGCCTTGCATTTATTAGCTGAAGCTATTTTTTTCTCCCCTTGTGAAACATTTTGTTATTTGGATTTTGTGTTTTCTTCCTCATTTTTTTAAATACAGATAGTTTTTTGTTTTATTTCAGCCTTTCTCAGGGTTCCTTTACCTGTAACCGTTGTCTTGTTGGCCATCTCATTGTGTTGGACTTGCCAAACAATTCAAAACATCCTAGTACACAGGCAACAGTTTTTTCAATTCAACAAAAGTCTGAAAAGATGACTTCTAGATTTAATTATAGACATAAAAAAGTTGTAAAGTTGTTATGTATCTGACGAAATCCGTAGTGCAGGATCAATTTGATCCAAATCAAAATACTTTTTCTATCATCAAGCCCAGAGATAATCAGATGTCTGTCTGAAAGGAAACCCACACTCAGCCAGGCACATAAACTGTTTTTACAGTATCTCAGTTATCTTTTCATCTCCAATAAGTATGATGCACATGAACATGGAGTGCTATTTATAAAACACTTCACATTTTTGATTGACAGCTTTATTTTGAACAAATATAAATAAAATGAAAAATAAAAAATACATTTAAAAATAAAAAAGAAAGCAGAAGTTATAAAACACGCAAACAAACATTAAGTTCGCATCAATAACTCTATCTACATGCTCCAAATGGAGAATGACGAATTCATCTACTCTTTTTAATATTAGTTAATAATTTACCAATTAGTGTTCATAATCTAGACACACAAAACACTATCACACTTTGTGATTAAGCTGCCTCTAAATCTTTGTACCTTGTAAAAACGGTCTTTGCCTGTGTTTTCTAAGCACCAATTGCCAAAGCAGCCAATTGCTCTTAGAACTGAAGAAGCTTCTGGGATGAAACGACTTCAAGAAAACTTACTGAAGTTCAGACGATTTTCTTTCCAAGCTCCTTAGGCTGAACAACACCTTCATCACAAAATACAGGTAGCTGCTTTAAAAACAGAAAGGTTAACAACTAATATAATCTGTTGATATATCCTGTGTGACAATCTTAAGCCAATTTTTTTTCCAGAGCTATTTTTTTCCAGGATCAACATTATTGTGACATATGACATTGTTCTAACAGCAAAGCTCCACCTCTATAATGTCTCTACTGTCTGGAACTTAAAAGAATTCGTGAATATCTGATTTCTGCACTCTCTCACTGTAATACGTATTACAGTGAGTTGTGTCAAGGACCAATTACTGATTTAACATGGCAACATTTATTGAGAGAAACCCCTGCTGTGGATCCTCCTACGACGCCCAACACACACTAATGCAGTTATTCTGCACACACATAGACAACCATCTGCCTCATTAAATTAGAGCCCTGCTGTGCTAGCCTGTTACCCACAACCCCTCATAGTGAGGCCATGAGCAAAGGGTCATGGGAGAGTGCTGGCTAATCAACAGCAGCCTGAATGTGCATGTGTCGGCGTCTGTGTGAGTCATAAGGTAAGAGGATAATGGCGAGGGCAACGATCATGCGAGAGTGAAAAACCAGCAGAACAATCTTGTGGATTTAAAGGTAGATTCAATTTAAAAACTATACATTCATCCATCACATGGTGTCAGCAGCTTTCTGCTACCAAATATTTCATATTATTTAGATATTTTATATTACCTTTGTGGAACTATCAACATAATGAGAAGAGTGCAATAGAAACTCCATTGTGGGAAAATCTGCAGCATGAAAAAGACTGACTACCCCTGTCTGCGCCCAGTTCAGCCCACCCACAGTGACAGCGTCCACGCTGTCTCACCTCTAATGTCCAGAATATTTACAGAGAAAAACATTTAACTGCTTGGTCTGTTGTAGTCACAGTGCTGGTTAAAATGAGCAATCCCCTCAGGTCAGTGCTCAGAATGTATAACAACTCAGTGTCAGCAGGTGTGAGCACTTTCTCAGGAAGCGTAGTAAGCTACAGTTTACTTCTGAATCTTGTCCAATTAAGTCTTTATCACTGTGTCCTCTGAAATCAAGGCTCTGTCGTTTAGCTGTCGTATGCATGGTCAGGCCTTCTTGGCAGTTTCTTTGTTTTTTAAATCCTGTTCTGTTTGGCAGCATTTGCAATCAGAATTATGATCTGGATGCACAGTGGTGCCAAAAACATTTTGCTTTT